AGCTCCTCCCCACCTTTGCGTAAGGGGTGGTGGGGGTAGTTTCCCGGGTGCCGACAGGGGGGGGGCGGGGGAACTGCTAAGCTCCCCCCCCCCTCTGGAACCAAAGGGGGGGGTAGCTTCCGGCTGGGGGGTCAAGGGGAGAGGGTGGGTAGCTAATACCTCCCCTCCCTTTGCGTAAGGGGGGGGGGGGGGGGAGCTTCCCAGGTGCCGAAACGGGGGGGGGGCTTCTAAGCTCCCCCTCCCCTTTGGAACCAAGGGGGGGGGGGTAGCTTCCGGCAGACGGGGGTCAAGGGGAGACGGGGGGTAGCTAATACCTCCCCTCCCTTTGCGTAAAGGGGGGAGGGGGGGGGTAGCTTCCCAGGCGCCGAAAGGGGGAGGGGGGGGTGCTAAGCTCCCCCCCCCTGGAACCAAAGGGGGGAGGGGGGGGGTAACTTCCGACAAAGGGGGGTCAAGGGGAGGAGGGGGGTAGCTAAGCTCCCCCCTGTCTTTGGAAAGGGGGGAAGGGGGGGGCAGCTTCGGAGTGGCGAAAGGGGGGGAGGGGGGTAGCTTCAGGGCGGAGGCGAAAATGGGGGGAGGGGGGGGGAGGGGGCGTCTAGCAGGGGAGGTGGAAGGGAGGGGGGTAGCTAAGGGGGGACCCCCCCCTTTGCGTCGGCGCTGTGGGCGCGCTCTCTCATACAGACAACAAGCAGAGGCCTTCGCGCCATACCAGCATCCACCAGCGACTAACCCAACTGCCGCCCAGCAGCTCAGCGCCACATATGGGATCAGAAACCCGATCCACCCACCTCCACCAAGCCTCAGAATCCCCATCGTCTGCCCACCGCCCAGGGCTGCACGGACTTAACGCTGGCTAAGTGACATGCCCACATCAGAGTTAGCACCACAAACGTTTGCAACAACACATACCCACTTCCAGCCAATAGCGCCTCCGAAACAGTTCCAAGACGGACATAAGGGCTCCACCCCAATTCTTGCATTCACAGACCATGTAGAAAAGCACTACGTCCACGACGGTAACGACCAGAGGCTCTTGGACTACAAGGAGACGATACGCAACCACCAGCAGCAATACCAGCAATACCTGACAGAAGTACGGCAGCGTAACATACGTCAAGCAGAACTGCGACAACGCCAAGGATATCCACCGTTATGGAAACACCTACCATAAGCCCTAGTCCCCAGTACCTAAGCACACAGCGCCACCAACACCGAAACCAATGTTCCCAACCGCGCAAGCGGACGGCATCGACTATTGGGGGTGGCAGAATGGCCACGCTGCATTTCTTTTCTTATGTGGTTGCCAAAGTTGCGACAATATTGCGACATTGGATAGCAGAGTCTACGGCCTCACCACATCCACCACTACGGCTCCCAGAACATCGGTTACCGCAGATCGAGGATTCTTGATGGCTCCTCCTTCCTGCCCCATCCACTCCCTACCTTTTTTCCGAGGCTCCTCCTGCTATCGTCCTGGCGCCCGCCGTTCGGCCGTCTCGTCTTTCACACTTCTCTCGCCTGCCCTTCTCCTTTTGCCTGCCGCTGGCATGTCCTCCTTCCCCCTAGGGGCCGCGCCTCGCTGGTGGCTGGTGAAGGCCGAGGTCCAGTGCGTCCGCTCGCGGACGCACGGGACTTCGACGGTCGCCTCTTTCGGCGCGACACCTCCTTTGCCCCCCCCCTCTTCTCCCCCGTCGCTTCTGCCTGCTGAGGGGCCGAACCAGATCACGCAAGGCCTACCATCCCTACTCTCTCACGCCCATGCCCAGACTAGCGAAGGACTACGGCGCGGGTTCTCTTCCGGACGGCCCCACGCTGTCACAGGCACCCGTTCTTGAATTTACGCCCTATGTTTTTTCTTTCGTCACCTTACGTCCTGTTTGTAACTACTCTCCCAATTCGCAGTGCGAATAGTGTTTGCACTAGCGGCCACTTTGGCGTGCCAGTCGGGGTTGATTACCGACTACGCAAACTCTTTTAACATTAACCGCATTCTTACACGTCCTCCAGCTCGTAATCACCACACACTGCCAGACCCGCCGTGATGATAGTAAGGCGGGATGGGTTGGCTTGGGGCTATTTGGATGGGAGGGGGGACGACTGCCAGCACATCAATATACTGCCACCGGCATCTTCCAAAGTTCAGTTCGCGCAGTCGCCGGACTGATTGTCTTTGCGCCATCGTGCGTCAACGTTGTCACGCGTATTTTTGCATTGACTTTCGCATCCTACTTCGCGTGTGCCGCCAGATATACCGCGCGCGCTACAGACCAGCCAAGACTTTACTGCCCACGATGGTGGAGGTTGGTGGGCAAGGTCGTATTTTGGCTGTGGAGGTGGAGGGGTTTCTCTCGCCTATGTTACATATATATATATATATATATCACCAGCTTGCTGCGCTGTCTCTGACGCATGTTTACTGGGCACTCTTGCGCGCGCCAGCCTCATGCGCGCACTGCTCACGGCAAGGCAGAGCCGGCCTAGCAGCGTGACAAGGCTCTTACGCAGTCTCTACGCAAACCTCGCAGTTCACACAGTGAATTCCATGCCCTCTTATAGGGTGTGGCCCCACAGTTTGCACTGGTTATGCCCTTCAACGCTCTTGTCGTCAGCTTGCTGTCCTGTCTCCTGGTTGGAGATACCACGGGCATGGAGTTCACATCTTTTTGGGAGGAGTCATATCACCGCGCTCGCAGCCGCCGCCACTGCCGGCCCCCTCGACGCAGGCTTGCACTTTTTTATTTTTCAGTCGCCTGCAGTCTTTCTTTCAGGCCCCCCTGGACACGAGGCGCGGCCCCCCAGGTCACATGTCAGAGGTGTGTGTGTGTGTATATATAGATATATCGGATAAGACCAGTGCAGCCAAACCTAGGCTGATGCTTTTACTTCGCACTGCCAAGACCAGCCAGCGCCGCCAGGCCAGCTTACAAGGGCGTTCAGTGCCAAGCCATGCCAGCACATCCAACATGCCAGCGCTGCATCAGTGCACCTCATCCCGATGTTGTTTCTCCGTCTTTCCTTTTTCTTTGTGGTACCTCCTTTGTTCCCCCCCCTCGCGCCCGTCGTTGCCGTTCGCCGACGAGCCGCGCGTGATGCTACACGCGGTCTGCCCTCATACTGTCCCACGCGACGCCATACCCAGCCAGTTTGTTCAGGCGCCTGCTCAGTGCTTGCTCTTGTCCTTTTCCCGCGTTCCCATGTATTGGGGAGATGATGGTTGCGGGCCATGGGGATGGCATTGGAGGTGGATGACCAATCTGCCAAATATTCAGGCGAGTCTTTACAGCGCCAGCCTCAGACATAAGCTATATTCTTTACTTTCAGAACGAACAGCCTCTCTCGCTCTCTCTCTCTCTCTCTCTTCATCCTTCCTCTCTCTCTCTCTCTTTAGCTCTCTCTCTCTCTCTTTCTCACTCTGTCTGTCTGTCTCTCTCTCTCTCTCTCTCTCTCTCTCTCTCTCCTTAGCATTTACAGGCGAGATCCAATCACCGCGCGGCACAGTTGCAGGTCTTTACTTCCAAAAGGGGAGCAAGGGCCACAATGGTTGCCACAATGGTGGCCACAATGGTGAATTGGAACGGTGAAGCCTCCCCCCCCGGGGAACCGAAAAGGACGGGTAGCAGCCCAAGAATTGCTATATAGTTTGCTACGCCACATGGTAAACCAACACAGACTGTGCCACTCCCTGCGCTCTCTCGCTTTGTTGCTGCACCTATTCCTCGAGCCGCCGGTTTCCCCCCTTCATTCTCATTGCACGCGTTGTTTTTTTTTGATACGGCTTGCCTGGATACATGTCTAAAGGGGGGGGCGTGGGGGGGGGTTCTCAAACAGCATTGGGAGGGACACTGCGGTAACACAAGCCTCAGCTGCTGTCTTACTGCCTGACGGGCGCATACTCTACGGCATTATGTTGTGTCTGTTAGGTTTGTCTCTCGTTGCCCGATACGCCCGCCAGGTTCAGATAAAAAAGGAGGAGGAGCAGGAGCAGGAGCAGGAGCAGGAGCAGTAGGAGGAGGAGCAGGCACAGGAGGAGGAGGGACAGCAGGAGGAGGAGGAGGAGGAAGGAGGAGGGAGGAAGGAGGAGGGAGGACGGAGGACGGAAGAGGGAGGGCGGAGGAGGATGGGAGGAGGTTGGAGGGAGGAGGCAGGAGAGGAGGAGGAGGAGTAGGAGCAGGAGGAGGAGGAAGAAGAGGAGGAAGAGGGGGAGGAAGAGGAGTAGGAGGAGGAGGAGGAGGAAGAGGAGGAAGAAGAGGAGGAAGTGTGGGAGGAGGAAGAGTCGATCGTCCAGCCCGAGAGGATGGAAAACATATGCCCCTCAGGTTTCGTCTTCCGGGGCTCCTGCTTCTGGCCCTGTGGGGGGGGCGCTGTAGCCTCGGGAACGTCAGCCCCGCAGGGGCGACGCGCTCGGGAATCGGAAATTCCGAGCTCGGTGGCCTGCGTTTTCTGGCCATACCGTTTGGGTGACGGTGAGTTTTAAGAGGTTTGTGCTGTGTGCTCGGTTCGGACGCGCGTATCCCACGAACCACATGGTGTTAGCATTTTATTCTGCGTGATAGTGCGTGTGTGATTGTGTGTGCGTGTGCGCGTGTGTGTGTTTGTGTGCTTGTGTGCTTGTGTGCGTGCGTGTGCGCGTGCGTGTGCGTGCGCGTGTGCGTGTGCGTGTTCGTGTGCGTGTGTTTATGTGTATGTGTATGTGTGTGTGCGCGCGCGTGTGTGTGTGTGTGTGTGTGTGTGTGTGTTTGTGTGTTTGTGTGTGTATGTGTGTATGTGTGTATGTGTGTGTATGTGAGGATGGGGGGTCGGGATCGGGCTCGGGATGCCAGGCCAACTCTCGACCAGAAGTCGATCCCGCCCAAGGCGCTTCAAAATTTTGCCCTGCAGCTGCAGCGCTGTTTCCCGCCTTTCTCTCGGGGTTGAAAGGTGCTTGAAATCACGGCCCCCGATGCGCTAGAGTTCCGTCGAAATTATAGTTGTGTGTCGCGTCATCGGTGCCCCCCCCCCCGAAGGTGCTGGGGACGATCTGTAACCACAAGGGCCAGCAGCTCCCGGCGGACAAGACGCTCGTCCAAAAGAAGGCCGAGGACTACGCCCACCCCGAGTGGTTCATCTGCCCCATGAGCTCGTGCACCCCAAGCGGGGGCAACGTAGAGGTGCCGGCAGGCGTCACGATGGCCTGGGAGGTGGAGCTCGGGGTGGTCATCTCCCGGGCCTGCCACAAGGCTGGGCGGAACGAGAGCTTGCCCCAGCCCCCCCCTCCTGGCCGATGGGAGGCGGTGCGAGAGGATCAGAGGGAAGGGTGCGCGCGGCATGTCTGGGCAGCCGGGGCAAGGAGGGGAGGAGGAGATGGAGGGAGGCGAGGCGAGGGCAAGGGGAGGATGGGGGGACGGGAGGAGGAAGATGAGGAGGAGGGGATGGGAGACGGCAGGGCAAGAGGGGACAGGAGGTGTTTCCGCTGTGTCGCCAAGGTGCCGAAGGAGCAGGCGATGGAGTACGTCGGTGGTTACGTGGTGGTCCTTGACATGACGGGCCTCTCCGACGGTTTCGAGAGCATGAAACACGGGCTGTCGTGGACGTTGAACAAGTGCCGCGCGACGTGGAAGCCTGTCGGGCGCTTCATCCCCGCGTCCGACGTAGAGGACCCGCACCAGGTGACTCTGGTCACAAAGGCCTCGGGGGAGCGGGAAAGGCAATGGTCTTCTTCGTGCCCCTCTCTTCCTATTCCTACCCCTCCTCCTCCTCCTCCTCCTCCTCCTTCTCCTCCTCATCCTTATCCTCATCCTCCCCTCCTCACCCAATCACTATTCCCTCCCACCCACCCTGCCGGCCACGGCAACTGCGTGTGCACGCAGCGCTGTAGCCCGAGCGGGTACCTTTGCGACTACGGCGAGGAGTGCAGCTGCGACGCCCACGGGTCGTGCAACTGAGTCGAGCCACCCGAGCGCTGTGGCCAGCAGGCCGATGTGCGACGAAGGCACGGGGTGCAAGTGCAACGGCCACGACAGCTGTGTGCGGACGCAGCGCTGTAGCCCGAGCGGGTGCCTTTACGACTACAGCCAGGAGTGTAGTTGCGACGCCCACGGCTCGTGCAATTGTGTCGACGGACCAACCTTGGGTCTCGGTCGCTTCGGCTCTGGCGCTAACCTGACGCAGACCGGCTGTTGCGGCAAGCAGGACGACTGTGCGCCGAAAGCACGGGGTGCAAATGCGACAACCACGGCAGCTGTGCGTGCACGCAGCGCTGTGGCTCGAGCGGGTACCTGTGCGACTACGGCCCTGAGCCCAGCTGCGACACCCAGGGCTCGAGCAACTGTGTCAGCAAGCCGTCTTCTTCGGCAGGACACCACTGCATTCTTCGCGTGTGCGGCCTACAGCATTCACAGGTGTGGAAAAGTTGTGCTTCAGTGGGACGTATCACCAGGACCAGTCGTGCCTCGACCAGACTGGCGGCTGCGGACCCTGAGTTTCTTGCCTCGCAGGAGAGGCCTGCTGGCCGCTTTTAGAACCGCCCCAGGTTCAGTTCCAGGGCGCCGCGCTATTGGTGAGTGGCGCCTTGGCATCCCTGCAACAGCCAGGTGCCGTACAGTGTCGGACGGGATGGTAATTAGCTTTGCGATATATTTTCAGATTGCGCGGAATCTTTGAATTGAGCAAACAGTTGCCCCCCTGGCGAGCGGGCCCTTCCTGCTCCTCGACTCCGCGGCTGCGCGGCGGCGACGCATGGGCCAGCTCGCCTTCCAGGGTTGCCCTTCGTACGGTTGTTTTCGCGTTTTTCTTCTCATGCGCTGACTCGCGCGCAGTGTGGGCGACCCCCCTGGCGCGCGGAGCCCGCCCGATGCGTCCACTCCGCGGCTGCGGGGCCGCGGCGCTTGGGCCAGTTCGCCGCCCAGGGATAGCCCTTTGCACGTTGTTTGTTTTGTCATTGGCGCATGCTTTGCCTTCGCGTCGGACCTCGCGCCGACTGATCCTGCGCGCCTACGACACTGGTGTGGCGCCGGCGGATTGTGTCTTCCAGCTGCGGTGCGTTGCGCGCCAGGTCTCTTCCATTCCCTCCCTCTTTCCCTTTCCCTTCTCCGTTTTTTTGTGTCTCCTTTACTAGTAATCGCGTCGTTGATAATCATCGCCGCCACGGTCGTGCACTTTCGGTGTCGCGGCGTTCGGGCCTCGCGCTTCTTTGGTGACGCGCGCCGTCGTCTTGCGATGTTTGTTTTCGGTCCCGTGTCGGTTCCCAGTTATTATCCATGTTACACGTTGCGCCCTGTTGAATGGGTGTGAAGTTCGGCCGTGGCGAGCCTCGGTTTTCGGCCGCCGCGCCCGCCCTGCCAAAGGCCACCCTTCACGCTCGTTCCTCTTTCAGACCACGGTGAACTGCACGAGTTTGCATATCGCAGGTCGGCTCTCGTGGTGTTCCCAGTTTGCTTGGTGACCTATTGATTCGCACAGCGGTCGAGGCCAAATCAGGTGAAGTTTGTGTTCACGCCCCGTCCTCCCCTTCCTCAAAATTACTCCCTGCCCCTTCTTCCCGTTCTTCCTCCGATCGACAGCACCTCTTGTGCACCCTCGGGGGCGAGAGCGGGCGGACGTGAAACACGGCGTGGCGGCACGCTGCCGCGCCGCGCGCCGATTGTCTCCTCGCTCGTCGTGCCCCGCCCGGCCGCAGCACCTGGCCACGGAACGGCGGCCCCGCCCCTGCTCTCGGGTCGGGCGAGAATCGGGACGGTCGAGGTGGGCACGCCGCCCCAGCGGCTGCTCCCTGAGAGGGGAAGCCCCGCGAGTGGAGAGTGGGCGGCTTGCTGCATCAGTCTCGGGCTCTGCGGCGCCAGGCGCCGTGGGGCTGCGGCGTGGTACACTGCGTGCGTTTGTTGCTGCTGCTGCTGCTGCTGCTGCTGCTGCTACAGTCGGACCGAGGTACAATATCGAGGTCGGTTCGAGGAGGGTGCCCTACTGTTCTTCGTGTCTTGCATGTTTTTGTGCCTTCTGGGGAAGGGTACCTTCCAGCGCTCATCATTTTGGCCGGCGGAGGATTTCATGTTCTTGAAGGATGTTCTTGCGGCCTCGGTCAGACTGTACGGAAAACATGGGCACCAGGAGCGACAGAATTTCGGGTTCATTTTGAATCTGACTCGCTGTCGGTGTCGCCGCGGGCGTCGTCCCTCTAGAGAGAAGGCCGCCTGCCCAACAGCGGCCGCTGTCAGCTTTGGGGCAACATTTGTTATTGGACCTCGTGCGCATTTTTTCTGTACCCGCTTAAGGCGGATGTTGAAATTGCCGCGTTCCGATGGTTCCCGACGCACGGGGGGGGAAACCAGCCGCGCGCAGCTGATCCTCGGGGGCCCCCGAACGACGTGGTAACCACTCCGCGGGAGAGTCAGTGGGGATTCGGGGTCACCGTCTCGGGCGACTGGGGCTTCCATGGTCCCGTCCCGAAGCCGTGCTGTGAGGACCGTGCGGTGAGGTCCCTCGGGATTCCGAGGTCACCGCTCGGAATGTCGCCACGCGGTTGACCACGTGGTGATAGATTGCGCGGCGACCTCGAGAGCTACATACAAACTATTCAGCACGAGCGTCATGAAAAAACATGACTTGAGGAGGTCAGAATTTTGCCAACCCCAAGCAGCTGATTCGCCAACCTTCTCCTTGCTACACTTGGGTCGAGAATCATGGGAGCCTTTCATAATTACCCTCGTAATTTCGTCTTTAGAGTGCATTCGCGTCGGCTAGCGTCTGGTAGTCGAGGAGATAGCGTTGGCTTAGCGTCGATTAGCGTCGACTGGCGTCGACCAGCGTCGATTCGCAAGAGCCAGTAAGATGGCATGTGAGGCTCCCATGAGTTGCCACCGGCATTTCTTGTTGTGCATCGTGCCCATCTTTCCCGTACAGTCAACACTGATAGTAAGGATGCTCGACTTCCCAAGGGTACCCGTGCATCCTTGCCTCTTCGGCCACCTTCGGCCCATCCTCAACCACCTTCGATGGCCAGCCCTGCTCGGAGTGCCTCGACATGGCCTTCCCAGGCCCTTGCATCCTTATCACGAATCCTTATCATCAGCTTTGACAGTGCCCATCTTGGGCGTCCAGATCCTCGTTCCCGGTGCCCGCCCGCCGCGGACTTGGCGAAGTCCCGCAGGGGACCAGCGGAGCCCCATGAGGACCGCCTCGTGGCTGACGCAGCCGGGGCCTCGGCGAGCAAGAGGCAGCTGGCTCCCTCTATCTGGGCCTCCCAGATGGGGTCCGAGTGGATGGGGCCGGAGGATCGTGCCGCATCACCGATGCATCGGCGGTGCGACTCGATGAGGGGCCCGATTCTAGCCACGCCGACGGCGCCGTTGCGTCGCCGACGTCCCCGATGCATCGCCGATGCATGTGATGCATCGACGATGCATCGGCGATGCGGCGCGATCCTCCGAATCTGCTCGGACCGCGTCTAGGAAGCCTCTACTCTGGCTGACCCAGGCTTTTCGGCAGCAGATCTTGCCAAACTACTCCAACCCAACCCGAAGGTCCCAGAGACGCCAACTTTCGGGTTGGGTGGTGTACGGGTTCCACAGCGCTGTCTCGATGTGTCGGAGCGCCCCCCCACTGGAAACTCGCAGGCCCAGCGGCGACTTCGGGTAGGGAGCTGCCAACCGGCCGGCCGACCCCGATATTGGTTGAGACTGCCGAGGACCGATGTGTGAAGAAACGGGTCCTGAGAGAAATGGGTCCTGTTGAATTTTCACCGTGTTTGGCTTCCTGGCGCCCTCCTCGGGCCCCGGGACTGTCGTACAACGACTCAGGATGAAGAGCTGATCCTGGGGGGAGGCCCCACTGTCCAGAACCCGTTTCCCTCAGGACTCGTTTTCCCCATGTTGCGGTGCCCGTGGCAACGCAGTTCTTGGTCGCGGCGGCGTTGGCGATCGCCCAGCGCGGGAGTCTGCCGCAAAAATACATGCACAGGTACCTTCCAATGTGATTGTTCCTGGGTCTCCGGGAAGGTGGCGGTGTATAAATCAATAGAGCCAGGGACTTCAAACGCCGCCATCCTCCCTGAGGGTACATGCAGGGTTCGTCGGAGGGTGTCTGTGTACATATTCTCGTGGCGTAGGGAGGGCCCTGGTCGGGCTGCGGACCAGAGAGAGGGAGAGGCGCGGACGGCCGCGGAGAGTGGGCTGCGGGCGTGGCCAGGTGCTCAGGGCGTGCATTTCAGCACGCCCGGGTGTGGCAGCCCAGACTGGGTAGCAGCGATGCGGCATGGCGGCCCAGGGGCTGCTCGGTGCGATGCCGTGGCCAGGCACGCGCCCTCTCGACGCGCCCGGAGCGGGTACGGCACGAAAGCTGCACGACGTCCAGCATCGAAGAGCATCGAGCTGGACCGCATTGGCGGCGCCGCCCCTGGCGCCGATCCAACAAGTCCGCGCGGAGCCTCGAGCGTTTAGATTCCTTCAGATTTGTTGCTGTCTAATGGCCGCAGCTGTTGTGCACCACTGGCTGGCTGCTGTGCAGGCGATGCTCGTCCTCCACAGGCAGCGTCCGCGGCGCACGGGACCTGCCAGCCCTGCTCGACATGGACCGGGGTTGCTGCCGGTCTTAGTCCCAGCTCTCTCCGTCCCCGCGTCGGTCGTCCGAAGCCCCGAGGTCGGAGGAGGGCGAGGTTGAGACAACGGCGGCTCCTCTTGCTCCAAACCGGTCCTGAGACTCCCCCATTGGTCCGTCCTGATCCCTGTCTCGAAGCGTGTCCAGCCGTGGCGACGAGAGGGCGCCTCCAGAAGGCCCACCAGGGACGAGTCGCATTAGGGAGCGCCGCCGTTGTCTCGGCTGACCCCCTTCCGATGAGAGTCGACAGCGCGCCCAGGGGAAGTGAGAGGGGGGCAGGCCTGCTCAGAAGGGGGCGGGGCTTCTCGGAATCCCTCCGGCCTTCTGAGAAGGCGCCTCTGCCCTCGGGGGAGGGCCAGGAAAGTTCTCAGAAGGCTGGAGGGCCTCTGCGAGGTCCCGCCGCCCCCTGAGAAGCGCCTGCCCCCCTCTCACCTCTCCCGGGCGCGCCGCCGAGAGAGGTCAACGGCAAGGAGGTGGGGCGGGACAGCATGTCCAGGATTTCTAGGCCTCCCAAAGACGATTAGAGTGGACGGAGTCGGAGGATCGCGCCCCATTGCCGATGTATCGGCGGTGCGGCTCCATGTGGAGCTCGATTTTCTCCACGCCGACGGCGCCGATTCGTCGCCGACGTCGGGGATTCATTGCCGATGCGGCGCGATCCTCCGACCCCATCTTCGGCGGCGAGCCCGGGCGCGAGTGAGAAGGGGCGGGCCTTCTCAGAAGGCTTGGAAGCCCCTTGGCCTTCTCAGAAGTTTTCTAAGCCTTCCCCGACGACGCAGAGAACATTTCAGAAGGCCGGAGGCCTGAAGCCTTCTCCTTCTCACGTCCCCCCATCGCTCGCCGCCAACATCTACTCGGACCGCGTTAGGGAGGCCTCTGAGGATGAAGTTCTCGGTCCAGGAGCAGGTCGCCGACGCCAGCGCGCTGACTCCGCTGCAGAGGGGCGACGTGCTCCTGGCGGGCGCCGGGTCGCTGGGGCCGATTGCCGTCGGCGAGCGGCGGCCAGAAATTCGGTTCGGACGATAGCTTGGCATCGCTCGGATGTGTGCATTTTTTTCTCGGCGAGGACCATCGAGGCGCATCCAGGAGCATCTCGCGGAACAGAACGCGCTCACGCACGAAACCGCAAAATGCACGGGGAGAGGACGTCCGAGCGAAGGCAAGAGAGGGGGGCGCCTGGAGGCGCAGGAGACACCAGCTGCGCGAGCTGATTAATTTACCCTCAGCAGACGACCTGTGTATTCGCTAACCTCTGCGGACGACCTGTGCCCAAGACTGGCACGGTGCGTAGTGTTCGGCCTTCTGAGCCGAAAAGCTGTGCACCGTACCGCGTCGGGGCGGGGCCTGAAGGGATCAGGAGGAACACACACACACGCACACACACACAGACACAAATAAATAACGTAACACCCCGCAGTTGCGGATAAGAGTAAGGGGGCGGCGGGGACGTCGGCAGTCTGCGAGGCTCTGAAGAAGCTCGCCGCAGGCGCCAAAGTCTGACAAATTATGTAACGAGCCCACCGCAGGCGCCGATTTTCTGGTTCAAGCAATGTTGGTGAGTCGCGGGGTGGGTCGCAGGTCGGTCGCGAGTCGGTCGCAAGTGGGTCGCGGGCCGGGTCGCGGGCCGGGTCGCGGGTGGGTCGCGGGTGGGTCGCAGGTGGGTCGCGGGTGGGTCGCGGGCGGGTCGCGGGGTGGGTCGCGAAGGGGTCGCGAAGGGGTCGCGGGCAGGGTCGCGGGTGGGTCGCGGGTGGGTCACGGGTGGGTCACGGGTGGGTCGCGCGCGGGTCACTGGGTGGGTCGCGAAGGGGTCGCGAAGGGGTCGCGCGCCGCGGGGGGGACGACGACAACCAACAACAACAACAACAACAACAACAACAACAACAACAACAACAACAACAACTACAACAACAACACCAACAACAACAACAGCAACAACAACAACAACAACATCAACAACAACAATCATTTTAAGACTGTTCGCCCTTATCTGCTCGAGTGTCGAATAACGCGAATTCCCCAAACCCTCGATACCCGCCCTTTTCGTCTTCGATCGAACCCCTTTTGGGGGGTATACCTCTCTTCCCTGCAGGCCGGGCCCCGGCAAGCGGCGGAGCGGTCGCGGACCGTCGGCCTGGCCAGCGGCAGCGCTGATCGGCGGGGCGGCCGCGGACCATCGACCCGACCCCAAGAGGGACGGACAGGGGACCGACCACGACGACGACGACGACGACGTCGACGACGACGGCAACGACGGCGACGGCGACGACGACGACGACGACGACGAGCGAAACCGAGAGCGAGAGAAAACGACAGCAGAGCCACGAAGGACACGAAGTAGGCCACGAAGGGCGACAGCGGGGACACGAACGGAATGCGTATGGGGCCACGAACAGCGCGAACGAGCGTGGGCCACGAAGGGCAGATTATGCGGGGCCACAGAAGGCAACGATGGGGCCACTGAGGGTAGCACCAGGGCCACGTAGGACAACGAGGGGGCCACAAACGGCGACAGCGGGGCCACGAAGGGCATGCACATGGGGCCACAACGGGCGCGAACGAGCGGGGGCCACGAAAGGCATACGTATGTTGGGCCGCGGAGGGTAAAGACGCGGCCACTGTGGGCAGCAATGGGGACACGAAGGGCAGTGGGGGGGCCACGGAGGGCGACAGCGGGGCCACGAAGGGCATGCATATGGGGCCACCACGGGCGCGAACGAGCGGGGGCCACGAAGGGCATACATATATGGGGCCACGAAACAAAGCGAGGGGGCCACGAAGGGCTGCAATGGGGCCACGAAGGGCAGCGAGGGGGCCACGAAGGGCTGCAACGAGACCACGAAGGGCTGCAACCGGGCCACTGAGGGCAGCGAGGGGGCCACGAAGGGCTGCAACGGGGCCACGAAACAAAGCGAGGGGGCCACGAAGGGCTGCAACGGGGCCACGAAGGGCAACGAGGAGGCCACGAGGGGTTGCACCGGGGCCACGAAACAAAGCGTGGGGGCCACGAAGGGCTGCAATGGGGCCACGAAACAAAGCAAGGGGGCCACGAAGGTCTGCAACGGGGCCACGAAGGGCAGCGAGATCCCGACTCCTAGGTAATATGTGAAGGAGTCCTAAGCGTGAGCGCGACTCCTGGGTGCCTGGGTGTCGGGGGCGCGGCGCTGGAGTAAATTACAAGAAATTCCAACGCAAGGGCGTTATTCTTCAGTAAATTGCAAGCAAGTCTCCAGCGAGAGCGCGACTCCAGAACGCAGGAAGCGATTCTTGAATAAATCGTAAGGAAGTCCCCAGCGAGAGCGCGATTCTTGAATCAAGTGCGAGGAAGTCTCAGGCGGGAGCCGTTGTTGTTGTAACCCGGGGGCCAGGGGCCCAGTTTGAGCAGGATGATTTTCATTAATAAAAAACAAGGTGCGAGCCCCGGGGGTGGGGGCACTTCAATGGAAAAGAATCAATGTGCACCGGTGGGGGGGGGATCACAAATGGTTTTTTCAAGAGTGGGAGTTCAACAACAACAACAACAACAACAACATCAACATCAACAGCAACAACACCAACAATAACGACAACGACAACGATAAAACAAGAACACCACCACCAACAACAACGACACCACCAACACCAACACCAACAATCAAAATCACGATCCTAATCCGCAATCGCAACAGCAATAACAACACCAACAACAACGCAACAAGCATAATCTTCACCACGGATCCCCACTTCAGCCACGCACCCAGGGACAATGAATGACCGTTCGGCCCCCTCACTCGAATCATGGATTTCAATGGAAAATATGGAATGTATGGGAAGTGGAGGGGAAGACGAAAATCTTGGAAATACGGAAAACATCGAGAATTCTCGGACTGATGTCTATCTATGTGTGTGTCCCTGGGACCTTGCAAGGGAGTTCGCCCCCGGGCGCGCTCCGCGCGCCAGAAGAGGGTCCAGCACCGATCCCGAGAGCTTCGCGCGGACCTCCTGAAGTTTCTGCTCGTTCGCCTGTGATCAAGGGAGAAGCATCCTTCGCCTGCTAATGGTGGTCAGCCTCTTATCGGCGGAGAGCGAGGGGGGGGACGAGAGAAGTAGAAGGCCTTCTTAGAAGGCGGTGGGGCTTTTCAGAAGTCCTCGCGCCTTCTTAGAGGTTTTCTGCGTCTTCGGGGAAAGCTAAGACAACTTCTCGGAAGACTGGGGCACTTTGAGCCTGCCAAGAAGGCCCGCCCCTTCTCATTTCCCCCCAGGCTTGCCGCCGATTTTAGGAAGCAGGACAAGGTAAGCTAAATTTCTTGATGTCTCCCTGTTCGGGGCTGCAGTTGTCTCAAAACATATGACTTCCTTGGTGTTTTCGTCGTAGATCCTTTTGAAATTCTTGGCCTGGGCCCATCGCCTCCTCAGATAATAATTTCCTTAGTTTGCCCCTCGAGTCGTCTGACCCCCATGAGCAGGCGAGTGAGAAACAACCCCCCAACCCCCATGGAACGGCGCTTGCCAAGCTGTCCTGTGCGCTTACTGAGCAGCCCTTGTCCTGGTCGATTTCTCCACAATGCGCGTTCACTGAAGGGCCTCGGGTTCAGGTGTGCCTATCGTGCGGGTGGTTCTTCCGTCCGCTCCTCCACTCCGTTTATAGGGGGTGCAACGGCTACAACCATTCGAGACACCGCCCTGTACACGAGGGGGAGCCCCAACCCACAGATAAATAGCCGCAGGCCAGGGACCGCTCGATCGGAAGCCCGCACCACCTGAGCACACACATGGGTGGTTGGGGAGGTTTTGGGGGGGGTCCCCCGGACCTCCCAGGACCGCCGGGATTCCAGACATCCTGGCCTCGGAGGGGAGTCCCCTGGACCCTTTGTGTGAAGATGCAACTTCAGATACGATGCTACGCATGGCAATGTGTGCTAGCGAACGTTTTCTGGAGGAGACTTGAGTTAGACGAGGGGCAAGCGTACGCATGCAAGCAACATCGCTTTCACACTCGTTCGAAGATTTTGTTGCCCCTTGTCGATCGAGAGACATATCCGTAAGGGCTTCGTCCCCTGCCACCGGCCCCCTCTCTATCATAATGTGATGTATAACAGAGTCGCGTCGGTGCGTCTCGGCGCTGCCTTGGCGCATCAATCCCGCCACCGTGTTTTGGTTGTGGGTCTGAGGCCTCTTTTATAGTGTTGGGGTGTCGTGGGGAACCTCTCGGGGGCCGCGGATGCGGTTTGGGCGCCTCTTGGAGACCTCTTGGGGCCTCATGGGGTATCTTTGGGGCGTCTTGGAGGCCTCTTGGGTGCCTCTTGGATGCCTCTTGTTGGAGATCGTGGCCTCGGGGGCGCGAATGTGGCGCGATTTGCTAGGGATCGTGGCTCCGGGGGCGCGAGGGTGGCGTAATTTACGCGGGATCGTGGCCTCGGGGACGCGAATGCGGTATAATTTACAAGAGATCGTGGCCTCGGGGGCGTGAATGCGGCGTAATTTGCGGGGGATTGTAGCCTCGGGGGCGCGACTATGGCGTAATTTACGAGCGGTCGTGGCCCCAGAGGCGAGAACGTGGCTTAATTTGCAGGGGACCGTGGCCTCAGGAGCAAACATACGGTGTGTTATACGAGGGATCTTGGCTTCGGGGACGCGAACACAGTGTGACGTACGAGGGATCTTGGCCTCGGGGGCGCGAACACAGCATAGACTACGAGGGATTATTGCGTCGGGAGCGCGAATCCCATGTATTTTTACATGTCCCAGGCCACCCAGAAATTCTGAGGGTGTGGTTCGGGGACGCTAGCCAGGGCCCTTTTCGCCCCCCCCCCCCTCGCGCGGACAGTAACAATATACAGTAAGAAGCAGAAACAATATTCTCTTTCTGTGTCTCTGTCTGTCTGTCTGTCTGTATGTATGTATGTATGCATATGTGCTGCTAAGCACATCTAGATAGAACAACACGGCGGCCAGCTGGTGGTCAGCATTATAATTCACAGGCGTACCGTTCACAGTGCACAAAAAGAAGGCGGG